TGTGTGTGTGTGTGTGTTGGTGTGTGCTGATGATAGGTATTTTCTACCATGTAAACTTTCCTGGATAAATATAGGAATAGATTAAAACATAGAGATTCAAGAATGAAGAATTAAAAAGCTTATGATATAGTTAAAAGAGAATGAGGATGAGAAAACACTAGTTTTGTTGGAGCTTCCAGTGCTAAAAATCATCTAATGTTCAAGAAGCAGCTAGAACTGTAAGCTTTAGGCTCCAGAGCGAAATTTGGCCTACAACAGAATTTAACATGGCAATCAAAAACATGACTATGAAAGGGTAAAAGGCAAAAAGCTTAAAGGACAACACATGGGTCATGTGGAAATGGTAATGCATAGTAAACAAGGAGGTGCACGCAGCAGAAGGAGGCTTGTGGCTGCGCAGGGTTCTCCACAAGAGGGGATCACCACAGGAATGGAGAGCTGAGCCTGACACAAGAAGCAACTGAACCAATTCTCAGCGCATGCAGAACAGATTTGAAATTAAAATCTTAGCACTTGGGATATCAAAGAATTATGTAATACCCTTTCTGTGCAAAGATTCTAAATTCAGGTGTTATTGTGGACTTGCCAACACCAGAGAGGTTCTTGCATACATTATATACCTGGCAAAAGGGGGGGGGTGTCTAAGGAGTAGACTGGTGGTTGCTCTGAAATCTCTAGAGGTATACAGTAGTTATGGATTCACTTGAAGACCTGGTGAACTACCACATAAAGACTACTTCATCATAAAACATGTGATAAAAATAAACTCACAGACTTTGGCAAACGAAAAGCTATGCCACCTCTGGACTTCAACCTCGGAATTAGAACTATCAATGGTTTCTTTCCTAATAAGCACTAAAAATATTTCGGGAAAAAGTGACAGGATATTACGACTTTCAAAAGAAAGCCAAAGTTTTAAGTGAGTCATTGTATGAAGTTACTTTGATCTGAAGCATAACTTCCGAGCACACAAAAAGAGCTGCAATAAAAAGTGGCAGATTTATCAAAGAACACTTCCTTTCTGGGTCCAGTGAGAACCTAATTAAACGTAGCCTGGCTGTTCCAGGTCTGGGTGCATGTGTGCAATGCATGAAGGTCTGAAATTGGACTCATGTCCTCATTAAGCTCATGTTCTCGGCTGTCTGCATGAGACTACCCAATACCTACATCAGACGACCATGTGAATCAGCACTGAATACCCAAGACACAATTCATTCACTACAATACTAACTCAAATTCAATTTATAGTGAAACAAGTACTTGAGACATTAAAGACAAACAAACAAAAAAAACAGGTCTGAGGTAAAGGTAAGTAAATATATTACTCTTCAGAATATTTAGAGTTTAAATTTAAAGCTCATATAAACTGACGGCAGTCTTAATTTTTTAAAAGGGACAGGACTCCCTCATTCATTCATTCAAACAAACAAACAAAAAAACAAACAAAAACCCCCATGTGTAAAAACAGATGAAGGCTGACTTACTTTGCTTAATTGAGGGGCAGGACCTGAAGGACAAGGACAGGTGGGGGTGGACAGCTCTGCTCTTAGCTCTCACTTTCTTTTTGTTTTGGTTAAACAAAGTCTCATATACCCTAGTCTGGCCTTGGACTTGCTGTCCAGTCTATGGTGACCTTGAACTACTGATCTTCCTGCTTTACCTCCCAAGTTTGGGGATTATAGTTATGTACACAAGACTCAGTGCTCAACTTCAGCAGTAGCATGGGAGGTATGACAGTGAACTTAATAAACTAAATTAAAACCAGTGTTTTAGAACAATTCCTGATTTTATAAGTGAGGTATTGAATTTAGATAAAGTAGCTGCTTTGTTCAAGGTCAAAGAGCTAATTCTATAAAAGCTAGGTCTTTACTTCCAGTCTGTTTTCCTCACTGCAGTACATTCTCCAAAGTAGCAAAATTGAGGCATCATTCAGTCTCATTATTAAAGGTTGGATTTCTCATGAAACTTTCCCTGACACTGGCAGAATCGGCTGCCTCACGGGTTCCTTCTCCATCAGTCCTCTTACAGTGCTGTTCATGTTCCCTTTTAGCAGCAGGCTGCACTGCTATTTTTTTTTTTATTTTCTGGTCACAAGCATTTCTGTCTTTGAGACAAGACAGTGAACAGAGACTTATCTAATTTATCTTGCATCACAAAATATCCTGATCTGGGATCTGGTTATTGTATAAACAACTCAATACTGACATCATCTCTGGAAATTAATGAACAAAGGTTTTTCAGAAATCTCATCTAAAACGTAAGGAACTATTTGTACTCAAATGGAGTTTGAAAAATGCTAGCCTTCAGGGGTAACAATTAGTAAGCTAGTAAATTCAAACCAACAACTGAAATTTTGCCTTACAGAAGTTTCACATAGCAATACATGCTTTGGAAAATTATTCCAAGAAAGTAAAATACCTGCGTATTCTGGGTAGCATATAGTGAGAGGGCTCTTTTTGATTTTTTCTTCAAAGAGATCCTTCTTGTTTAGAAAAAGTATAATAGATGTATCTGTAAACCACTTGTTGTTGCATATACTGTCGAATAATTTCATGCTTTCATGCATCCGATTCTGTAATAGAAAATAAAATCGTTTTCATGAACAGTGAAGATTGTGAAAAGGTAGATATTACTCAGTTTAAAAATAGACAACATTCTGAAGGAGGTCCCAGTTGTTACCTTACCTTTATTTCTTATGTCTCTATCCGGTTCTCTCTGAGTCCTTTTAGGTTATCTCAAATTCAAGGACAGAGAGCCTTATGGTTTTACTTCCTCTGACAGAATGGGCCCCAGGTTAAACCCAACTTAAAGTAATTACCTCCTAATGTGAAATAAATCCCTCTTTGCTCCCTGTAAGCAGTAACAAAATTTCAGGAGCCAGCAGGAGACCCTGCAGAACCAGGTTGAGATAATGATCAAGCAGCCCAGTTTGACCCAGACTGCAGGACTCTCTATTTCTCCTACTTCCTACTTCTGTCTTTCCCATATATCATCCTAGAACTCTCTTCAGTATCCTAGGGGTAGAGTTTAGGATGCTCACACCTTGTTCGCCCACTAAGGCCATACTGAATGAATGCCTTTCCTACTTCATACCTACTAGTCTTCTAATTAGACTACTGAGGGAATGGGTTCGAGATCTGGTGTGTTGGGAACTCTGCCGAATTAGGGCTCTAATCTAGGACTGGTAATAATTCTATAATTAATCTCTGCCATTTCTGGACAAGCATAAGGAAGATTTCAGGCAGGACAGTGTTCCTCATCATTCATCATTTCTGCATTCAATCACAGCTTTCTCAGTGCCCACTGTACAGTAAATCTTGTCTCCTGCCTGAGAACCTCCTGCTGTAGGGTGTTACAACCTAGGGATGTCCAAGTGTGAATGTGCCAAAGGAATGTCATTATTATACAGATCACCCAAGCTTCCATTAATAGATAAGGGGAAGCATTAAAGACTAATGTTTTAAATTATGCAAGTTGAAATCCAATTAGCCTAACATTGTAGATATTAGAGGAGACTTCTAAGAGTTGTTTATTACCCTTCCAAGATCTATGTTCAAATAGGATACCAACATATTTTACAGTACTAAAATGAAAGAGATGCATATGTGATATTATATTTTATCTCCTCTGTGAGAACTGGAAGAACTTGACTTTAAAAACACAACACTGATCCCAGCACTCGGGAGGCAGAGGCAGGCAGATCTTTGTGAGTTCAAGGCCAGCCTGGTCTACATAGTGAGTTCCAGGTCAGCTGGGGCTACACGGAGACCCTGTCTCAAAAAGACCAAAAAAAAAAAAAAAAAAAAAAAAAAACACTGAAATCTAACTAATTTTTCACTTTTATTAAAGAGCCGGAGTTTTACGTTTCTATTCAAAAGTATTTCCCCAAATTAACAGTACATTAATGGAATGCTATCTGAAAATGTTATAGCAGTAGCAAAGTATGACATATATCAAAGGTTACAAGCTGGCATATGTAACAAGTGTGGGAAAATGAGCCTTGAACTAGATCCAGGAATTCACAGGTAGTTGGAGGGTGGAGGAGAGAGGACTCCCACATGCTTCCATTTCCTCAAGATGCACCTGTGCTTCCTCAGTGCCCTCCCCCTTCGTAAGGCAAATAGAGAAGCTGAAGGAAAGAGCCTGAACTTTTGTATACTTCAAGGATAAGCAAGAATTTCTCAAGAAGTGTTCCCAGAAAAGTCCTTGGCAGTATCTGCAGCTCTTGGCTTGCGGCACTGAGACCCTAGCATGCTTCTACTTGCCATTTCTTCATCTTCAGCCAGAACCAGGTCATAGTCACTCAGGGCCACACAGAAAATGATGGCCGTCACGCCTTCAAAGCAGTGAATCCACTTCTTACGCTCTGACCTCTGACCTCCCACATCAAACATTCTGTAAGAGGAAGAATCATGAGTTTACACCACATTAAATGTTCAAAAGCTCTGAGGAGTTCTATAATGCCGACAAGAAAGCTCCACATAGCTGGGGGACCGTGGGATGGGAATAAAGGAGAAAGGGACATAGTGGGAGAAAAACAATGTCACCAATTAGTTTTCCTGAGTAGGAGAAAGGGGGAAAATTCTATTTTTTAACTCTTCATTTGCAGGGAGAGTAACTCTAAAACATAAAGAAAAATACTCTCAGCAAACAGTATACCTGGGACAGAGATATGGCTCAGCAGGTAAAGGCCCATGACTAGCAACCTGAGTTCAATCACTAGATCCATAGGCACACACACACACACACACACACACACACACACACACACACACACACGTACTACATTAAATTAAAATTTTAAAATATTTAAAGACATATAGCATCCATTAACATACGGAAACATTTAGGGCACTAAAGCAAATACAAATTAATGGGCCAACTGCTTGTAAACACTGAGAGTCACATAAAGCAACTGAGGATGGCAGAAATCAAAGAGCATGCATTTAACATGCCAGTCAGAATCACTGGGGCAGAAAACAGGGCTCCCCTGTTCCTGCTGAGAAATGATATTTGTCAGAACAGAAAGCAAGATTTTGAGGGAAAAGAGATTTGCAGGTAAGAAAACGCCTGCAAAGCAAAATAAATTCATAAAGGGGCAAAGTGGTTGGTGTATATTATAAAGTAAAGCCATGGTATGAAAAATAAGAAAGAACTGAAATGAAATAAATAAATGGTGCCCCTACGGAATAGCCTTGAAATTTAGAATTTAAAAATTCTTCAATTTTTATGCAATGTGTTTATGCGATAGCGAACCATTGAGAGTTAGTGTACAAGGTAGTAATATAATCAAACAATATCACACCAATAGCATTTTCTTCTTGTTCCTGGCAAGAGTTTATAAAGTTAAGCAAAAGTTTAAATTTGCATATGCTACATTATGCAACCTAGAAATATCCACTTACATAATAGAAACACTGTATGAACTGGTACATTTCTAAAGCTTCCATTTATCTAGATGGTACACTAATTAAAACCATTTCTATTTAATTCCCAGGCAAAAATAATTTTCCCTACAGACCAATAGTGGACTATAAACCAAACGTAACTACCTCAACTAGTATATATACTTCCATCATTTTGGTGTAGTTAGAAACTGTTGGTTAAATTATGCTATATAACAAAATGATCTAACCACATAAAAAACATCACTGTGAATAGGATGGAAAGATATGATGCAAAGTGGATATGACACATAGTAGTAAAGATCAAACAAGAACAGAGGGGAAAGCTGACTGTATTAAACA